TGACTTTTAAAACACATGACCTTTATTGGGCAAACATATTAATGGGAAGCGGGTTTTTTTAGCCCTTTAAACATGGGTCAGTGTTCCCTCTACAGCTAACTGGCACTGGGTCTGGAGGTACTACAATAGCAGGCCAGCACCAGAAGGGCCAGAGCCAGGCCTGACACCCTCCCCTCAGTGCCAAAAATACTTGATCATAGCCAAAAAGCCACACTACAATTTTTATTTTTATTTTTGCAAAAAAAAAAAAATATATATATATATATATATATATATATATATTAGAGAATTTGTGATTTTTTTTATCAGAGAAAACAAGGATCCCTGATTATAATTTAGTTTCTTTTAGCTAATTAGGTCTCACATTTTTAACCCGTGTGTGATTTCCATGGCTTCCAAGGAAAGCTGTTGCTTAAAAAAGAGCTGCTAATTGACAGGTCCTCTTTCTGCCAAGAAGCAATTTACCAGATGTCCCTGATGGGTATATAAGGCTATCTCCTTCCAACTTTTGTCTGCCCCAGATGAATGAGGCAGGATATGCTTGTTTGGGAAATGGTTGATGTAGCCTGAGACAATGTGTAATGCCTCATGAGGCAAGCTTCCGATAATCAGGAGACTCTGAGGCACTGATGAACCAATTCTAATGTGGCTTCTTTTTAGCGGACATCTTCACCTCAAGTGACATTGAGGAGTTCCTGCGAGAAGCTGCCTGCATGAAGGAGTTTGACCACCCTCATGTTACTAAATTGATTGGTGAGCTAACAGTACTGTTCCACAAGAGTCACAGTAGAGTACCTTCCAGAACAAGGAATCCCTAATTCCTTCACAAACTATACATATGGTCCCAAGGCACTGAATAGCAGCCATCTCTAGGGTGGCAAACAGCACCTCTCAAGCCCACAGCCTTCCAGATTCCATGAATGTTGTTCCTTTCCAGGCTTGGAAGGAGCTGAAGTGTGCGTGTGTTTACATAGATATATACACGCACATTTTTAATGCATCTGTAATTTCCTTGTCTTGTTTAAACCATTTATCCAGCCCTTATTGGTTTTTGTAAATGTATTAAGTAACTATGAGCACAGATGGCACATCTGAGAAATGGCCAAACTGTGGCAAAACAAAGAGGTGCAATGGATGGGTTAATAAAAGAATAGCAGAGAAGAAACCCTTCCTCCTTTGATTTAAAGCCCCTTGGCCCTGGGGAGAAGACAGTAGAACAATTACTGCCTTGCTGTAAGACAGTGGGAAACATGGAGCAGCCTTAGAAATAAAACCGTTCTGATTAATATGGGGCAGGTGAAACCTCTTTAGAGGGATCTGAGAAACTTCAGAACCCAGCCCAGGAAGGCGCCAAGTCCTTCATGAGAGGTACCATTTGAGTAAGTGAGAGTAGAGTTTTCTCCATGTCACATGGGATTGGGCCTTGAAAGTGGGCTCAACACACAGAATACAACCCTCCAAAATTACAAGTGATCATGTTTCCTGTAAATGGGTGGACGAAGGGAGCAACAGGTTCATGCCCAGTATCAATCTAGTTGCAAAATACTCTTTCTGTGCATATTCTTACCCTAGGTGTCAGCTTGCGGAGTCGTCCCAAGGGCCGTCTCCCAATACCCATGGTGATCCTGCCCTTCATGAAGCACGGAGACCTTCACGCTTTTCTGCTGATGTCGCGGATTGGAGAAAATCCTTTTGTAAGTCTTTTTCTCTTTGTGCAGTTGTCTGGTGATGGTGTAGGTTCTGGGATGTGAAATTCAGATTGTCTCAAAGTGTCCAGGAGACTCCAGGCCAATGCAACTTTGAAATGACTGTATGTAATCTGGTGGGAGCCAGCTCCTCACTGCCCATAGTATGAACCAGCAGGTGAGTGCCAGGGGTCAGTGCTTAGTGTCTTGAATATTCCAGTATTAAGTCTTGAACTGTTGCTTTCTTTCAGAATTTGCCTCTTCAGACATTACTCAAGTTCATGATCGATATTGCCAGTGGTATGGAGTACTTGAGCTCAAAAAACTTTATACACAGGGACCTGGCTGCTCGGAATTGCATGTGAGTGGACCAAGCATTTTCACACCAAACAAAGGCTGCTGGGGCAGAATATGAGAGAGAGGAGTTAGAAGCTCCCAAAGTCAGAAGGGGGGAGCCTGCCTTTTGGTGGTAGATCAGCAGTATATCACTTCTTCATCCAAGTAGGTGACAGCAGGTAAGGGGAAACCAGTGCTGGTCAGGGGCCATGGGAAGGAGTGCAGGTCCTCATGGGAGACTTCTAAGGTTCAACTAAGTATCCAAATTGATCCCTCCTGCATCTAGCTGGTATGCACAAGGTTGATACACAATATATGTTTGCAGTGTTGTATCATTCTGACAATGGGCATTGCTACAATATCGCAATACAAGGGAGCAAAGAATGTATTTGGGATCTTGTGAGAGAGTGGAGCTTTCAAAGCTGCTGTAAAAAACGAATCCAAGATTTCCCACAAAAGACATCAAACCCTGGGGCTATCTCCAGATACTGGCTTAGGTGAAAAATTCTCTATTGAAACAACTGAGGGCATGTCCACAATGCACCTGGACCACTGCATGAAGCACAATGTACACTGAGGATGTCACATTACACATTGAAACAGATGTAACATAGCTGCCAGAGTGGTGATGAGCACGCACCAACACATTACTTTCATTTTATTATAGCACTCCCTAGCATGGGCCAGAGGCTGTGCAGACATGCTTCAGTTGTTGGCAGCTACATGTGATATAAAACTGACATTTCTCTTCCCTGATTTTAATACCTGCTCTGATGAAGGGGAAGCTATTTCTTCTCATTTCTTCGCTTTTGGGAAGGAGCAAACATTGGAGGCAAACTATGTTCTAATAGAATTCTTCATGCATCTATAAACAAAACCACCTCTGGCCAGTGAAACTGAATGAGACACAAGACCAGATTTTTGAAACAGTTGAAAAATGCAGTTAGGTTAGGTGTTAAATGAGGTTCTTAAAGGGGAAATCAAAGGAAATTTTTTAAGGCTTCTATCTACATCTTTTTGTACCTGCATACCTTAAAAACAAACTGTGCAGCAGAAACTTGAATGCCCTGGGCGAAAGGGGAGATGTTCCTCTGTGAGACCTCTTTAGTTGAAGTCACTCTGCATCTTCACTGCCAGTGCTCCAGTAATTTCCCTGGATGGAGGCCACCAAACATAGTTTCACATTGGCCCCCAAATAGTCAAGAGACAGGGATGACTTAGTCACCACCCACCTGAGCCATACCTGTTGATAAACTGGATTTGAAAGGCTGTATATCTTATTCAGGGGCAGGCAATTATTTTGGGTGGAGGGCCACTTACTGTGTTTTGGCAAGCTGTCAAGGGCTGCATGGGTAGCCCTGCCCCTTAACAAGTGCTCTGCCCCCTGGTTGCCATCTTGTGACCAGAAGTCCTGCTCCCTAACCCCTGACCTTTGCCACCAGAAGTCCCTCGCCTTGCCCCTGGAAGTACTCCTTTCAGCAAAGGGTTTTGCCATCTTGGAACCAGAAAAATACCATATTACAGTAAAAGCTGCCTTAACTGGCACCTTACAAGCTGGCATGTTCTATTAACCGGCATGCCAGTTTGTAAGAGAAAAGCGAAACTGGAAGCTCCCACTGTGGCACTTCTAGTTTCACCAAGCCCCCACAACCGGGGGCAAAGCAGCCTGCGCTGCCCAGGGCATAGCAGGCTGCACAGAGCCCACCTCCTTGTCCCTCTGGGCCTGCGGGAGGGTAGGTAATGCGGTGGGAGGGGCAGCAACGCCCTGGATGTGGCGGGAGAAGCAGCTGCCTGAACAGGCAAAGACGCCTGTTCAGGCCTCTCAATTAACCAGCGTATTTTGTTATCCGGCACCCCCATTCCCCATGGGTGCTGGATAACAAAGTTTTTGCTGTATATTCTAAAAATCAAACATCTACAGCATTCATTAATTTGATTTCAAAAAATATTTTTCTCCTGATTTACATGTGCTTGTGTAGTGTACATAGAGGTGATTGCACAATAGCTTAAAATGAAGTCTTACTCTTGTATGTTGTGGGGGGGTATAGGTTTGTAGGGTGTGTGTATGTGGGGTGAGGGAGCATGTGGGTGTGTGTGGATATATGGCGTGTGGGTGTGTATGGGTCTGCGGAGGGCTGTATGTGGGGGAGGGTAGCTGGGGTTTGTGTATGGGTGCATGTGTATGGTGAGGTGTACATGTGGGACTCGCCCTATGAATACATGCACACAGACTCTGCCCTGAGTCTGCATGCACAGATGCTCCCCTTTCAGCCTGCATGTGCACTTAACAGCGTGGTCCCATGCTCCACAGTCCAGCGATGCAGCTGGGAGCCACCTGGTGCTGGAGCAGGGCTGGGGAAGGAAAGCAGGGAACTGGCTGTGGGTAGGGAGGGGATGGGCTATTCAAGCCTGCTCAGGCTCCCTCTGGGTCCTACTGCCCCTGGCTCCTGTCTGCTTTCACACAGAGCCAGGAGATAATACATATTAATTTATTAAATTTTTATGGGGCCTTGCAGGCTAGATAGAATGGCCTGGTGGGCCATATTTTGCCTGCCCCTGATCTTATTGTTACTTCCCTGAGCCATCCAGTGCCCAGTTGCTTGGTATAACCCACAGATTCCAGTTTACTTGTTTAAATTTTCCCTTAGGTTGGATGAAAATATGAATGTAAGTGTTGCAGACTTTGGACTGTCTAAGAAAATTTACAGTGGAGACTATTATCGCCAAGGCTGTGCCTCCAAGCTGCCTGTGAAGTGGCTTGCACTAGAGAGCCTCGCGGATAATCTTTACACAACACACAGTGATGTGGTGAGTTTTGATTTTGGGTGTCCTCTAAAAGCCAGTGGGAATCTTACAGTTGACTTTATCATGCATTGGGTCAGGTCCTTGGTGATGAGAGAGCATTGTATGAATGTGATGACTCTTTGTATGAAGGGACAGGTCCTTCTCTGCATTATGGCTGAGATGCTCTCCAAACGTGAGAAATGCAAGAGGTATATCTAAACTGGAGGGGGGAGTAGTTTATTCTGCATATATGCATGTCATGAATCTTTTTGTCATCTGATACTTCTACATATCTTTATTTCTCATCCTTTGTCTTCTTCCCCAACCTTTTATCTTTCTTTCTTTGCTTCCTTCTCTTCTCTGTTTCTTTCACACTGTTGTTTTTTTCCATTTTTTCTGCCTTCCATTGTTACAGGAAGGTGAAGTGATTTCTCTCATTCTCTCTCATCTGCATGTGCGCGCACGCACGCACACACACACGCGCGCACACACACAAGCAGGTGTGCCAGTAATAGTTCACCCTGCAGAGGGCAATGTTGGGAAGAGCTACCACAATACTTATTGCTGCTTTTTTTGTGACTCATCTTAAAGGTAAGATAGCAATTATTAGAAAAGAAGATGCACTAATGGATTTTCAGGGTCTCAGGCAGGGTAGAATAGAATCACATTTAGGCACCTAATTCAAATAGAATACAGCCCAAAAAGTCTTTTTGTTCTAGAGATGCTCATCCTCATTCCATTTCGCTGAGTAGTTGAGGATAAGTATGTTCATCTGGAACTCATCTCCCTTTCCTCTGGACCTATCTTCTGGTTCTCTCCTTTCTCTCCCTAGATCCCCTCTGATTTGGATTCCTACTGTTTTCTGCTTTGGCTTGTGAACTTGCACTCCTAATTACCAGTTCTTCACCCTGCCTTTTAAGAGGAGGCTAACAATACTGTATTTACCTCAATCCAAAAACTTAAAATTTAAAATGACCTCCCAATAATTTGATTCTATACAAGGAAGATTATAAATGTATAATTTTCCATTTATATAATCTAATTACTGGAAGATCTTAAGTTTGTCCCTCTACTGCTGTGGCAGGGACAGCAACTGTGTGTGTGTGGGGCAGAGGGAGTCTGACTTTGGGGCAGTCAGCAGCAGTAACGGCCCCAGCTCAGCCCCATCCTACCCTGGCCAGGGAGAAGCAGTGGTAGCTCCCAGCTGGACTGGGTTAGGACTGCAGGAACCACAGCTGGAGCAGAAGGTAAGGGCAGGCAGGCTGCATGGTCTTTTCTATGCTCCCTCCAGCCACACATGCTGTCTCCCCCATTCCTCCCTCTCCCCATCCCCTTCAGTCTCCGTTGTTCTCCCCTAGCCACAACCCCTACCAAATGAGCCATCCTGGCCCCAGGTAGGTAGCAGCTCAGCTCCGGCTTCAGCCCCAAGCTGAGCTGCTGCTTATTGCAGGGTGGTACTCAAATTCAAGATGAGGCATTTCCCCCCATACTAGTTGGAGGAAAAAAACTCATCTTGGATTTGAGTAAATACAGTACCTTGAAGTCTGGCTACAAAATTGCTTGGTGCAAGGTGTGGCCCACATATATATTGTACAATGATTGATGCTTGGACACATCTGAATGGGATATTTCTCCTGAGGAACATACCTCATTAGACACAACATATCATCTAATTTACTTAATTAGATAATTAAGATGATATGTCCAGTCAGCATAACTTGGCATGGGCAAGCAGAACCCCAGGCACAGACTTAGAGGGGGCACCAAAATGCTGCTGGCAGGAGGTGTTGGCATGGGGACCAGTGTGGGGGTTAACAGACCAGCTGCCAGGTGTTGTGTTGGCCCTACTGCAGCTGTCAGGTTTTTTGCAGCTCAGTTTGCCTTTGTTGATCAGCACTGATGACAAAATTTGGTGGCAGCCACAGGAGGGTCTCTTGCTCAGCAGTTGCTCTTTTAACTCCCTAGCTGGTGACCACACTGACGCTCCCTACCCCCGCAGTAGCTGGGTCTGCCTTGAGCCCTGCTGCCGTTAACCCTGATCCCTACAGTAGGTTTGGCCCAGGGTGTAAACCTTTCCAGTTATACCTCTGCCTCCAGGATCTTTAGTTTAGACTTAGCTCTTTCTTCCCTGCATATATCTACTACAGTGTATGAAAATCATACTGGAAGCGTGTGCCTACTACCACGTGTGAAGAGTGCATGGGGGGGCAATGCTCCCCTGTTTTCATTGGCATGTGTTATGCTGTTAAGGGCAAGCGAACACAAGTCAAAAATGCCTTGTTACCTGCATCATCTTCAGCTTGTGGGCCAAATTCTGTTTCCATTTAAACCTGTGTCACTCCAGGGTCTGGCTCAGGACATTAAGCTAATTAGGTAATAGAAATAATTTGGAAAGGAAGGTTCCTTGCTCTGGCAAGCAGAGAAGTTTGTTTGCCAGCTTTGCTTGCTGTTCTGTTTCAGTGGGCATTTGGTGTGACCATGTGGGAGATTGTGACCCGAGGACAGACTCCATATGCAGGCATTGAGAATGCAGAAATCTACAACTACCTCATCAGCGGAAACAGGCTGAAGCAGCCCCCGGAGTGCCTGGAAGATGTGTGAGTAATTTGCCCCATGCTTTCTTTTGATTCCCATAGTGGATTTTGTCTGAATAGTGATGGTAGTAGGGCCATAGTGTTGTTATAGCCGTGATGGCCTGGGCACTATGTGAGAAGTAAGGCATGTTTGGTAGTATCCTTTTTTACTGGACCAACTATAGAGTTGGGAGATATATCAGATAGTAGATACAGCCTATTTGCTTCTTTTCCAGACCAGAAGAAGAGCATTTTGTGCCCAAAAGCTTGTCTAACATGTTTCCCACTCCGTACTTGGTCCAATAAAAGATATAGCCAAATAAGCTATGCTTAATGGAGACAGGCAGACAGACGGAGGCAACAGGCTGGGCTTCTGATCAGATTTTATTTATTTTTTAATATTTAATGGCACCCACTAGAAAATTACTTGAGTTGCTGCTACCATAAAAACAAAGCACCAGTTTTCCTACTTGTATAACTCAATTGAGATCAGGGTATATACATTGACACCTACTTTGGCCCAAGAGCTTAAACAATATCAGCACTCTGATGTGCTGATATTCTATTCCTCTTGCAGAAGATTCAGACCTTTTGTGAAACTGTAGTCCCTGACTACAGTTTCAGACCTCTAATGAGGTCTCTGACTTCTTGAGAAACTAGCTATAGTCTCAGAAACTCACTCTTCCTTACCTCCTCTATGTCAATGGCTAAGAAACAATGTGGGCCTCCAGCAATGCCCTAAAGGTTGGCTAGATAATAATCAGGCAGAGCACTGGGGGAAGTGAGTCTCGGAGCAGACCTAATGTACAACAAGTTGGGTTGGGTATTCAGCATTGGAGCAGTGTTTCACCCCTAAAATTCAGTACCTTCCACCTCACTCAAACTAGAGTCTAACAGCTGACCACAAGCACAGATGTCTTCCTCTGCAACTTGAATTCCTCCAGTATTTTTCCAAAGATAAATGCCTATTAATTCAGGACAAAAGCGTTTAAGAAAAGGAAATAAGAAACCTTCTCTGCTGAATAATTCCCAAAGTTGTTTTTTATTTCCCCATTTGTCCTTTATAAATAAGTTATGCAGCCATTAAATCCCTTTGCCAATTACCACTTTACTTATCCATGTTTTTTTGATGGACCAGCCCATCACAAGCCCCAAATCAGAAGACATTTTGATGGGGCTTATGAAAGCTACCCCCTCACACAGATCTAATGGGATCTCTCTTTTCCACAGAAGGCTCTAGGCACTTGTTAATAAACAAGTCATTCTTTCTAGTCCTCTTGGCAGGTTACTTTTTTTAATTGTTTCCATGCATTGTTTCACCTTGGTAGATACCATTGTTTAATTTAGACAACAAAGCCAGAAAATATATGTAATCTGGTGCTACAGAATAAAGAGCAATAAAAAGTAGTCAGCATTTGGTCAAGTAAAAATTGCCATACTTCAGAAAATGCTAGGTCCTTTTTCCTCAATTAACACACTATTGAATTTGCTCAGTGTGCAGCTCTAAACTAGGTTGGTTTGTGTTTGTGTCGGCTTTCACTGGCAGCACTTTAAGATAACACATTGTTCCCTTTTCCGGCAGGATTGGCAACAATAAAGGGATAGAAATTTAAATGCCAATTTTGTGGATGATGCACAGGGAGAAAAAAGAACAATAGAATTGGCTGTATTCTAGCTAAATGAGTGCCAGCAGGAGCCATAGCAGGATGGAGGGCAAACATATGGTAATTCAGCTAGTGAACTGTCAGAGATTTGCCTGTTGAAGCAGAAGTTAGAGAAGAGCTGATAGCTCCCACTCCCCAATTATTGTGCCAATGACTTTAATCCACCAATATTCAAATTACTTCGGCTGCAGTAACCAAACTTTAATCCACATTCAACTTCAAAAAATCATGAGTGGTACTGTGGCTGATAAATGGCTTGAGGAGCTTTTCTTTGTAGTTGCAGGGTATCTAGAATAGAAAGGCCATTTTCAGCTTGGTTATTCCAACAGTAAGGACTCTGCCACTTTCTTCACATCCCTCTGAAACAAAATCATAGAATCATAGAAAATTAGGGTTGGAAGGGAGCTTGGGGGGTCATCTGGTTCAACCCCCTGCTCAAAGCAGGACCATCCCCAACTAGATCATCTCAGCCAAGGCTTTGTCTAGCCGGGTCTTAAAAACCTCCAAGAATAGAGGTTCCACCAGCTCTCTGGATTATCTGTTCCAATGTTTTACTAACCTCCTAGTGAGAAAATTCTTCCTAATATCTAACCTAAACTTCCCTTGCTGCAACTTGAGACCATTGCTCCTTGTTCTGTCATCACTGAAAACAGTCTAGCTCCATCCTCTTTTGAACCCCCCTTCAGGTAGTTGAAGGCTTCTGTTAAATCCCCTCTCAGTCTTCTCTTCTCTAGACTAAGCCCAGTTCCCTCAGCCTCTTCTCATAAGTCATGTCCTCCAGCCCCCTCACTATTTTAGTTGCCCTCCACTGGATTCTCTCCAATTTGTCCACATCCTTTCTGTAGCGGGGAGCCTAAAACTGAACACAGTACTCCAGATTTGTCCTCACCAGTCCCGAATAGAGCACTTTCCTCACCCTGCTGGCAACACTCATAGTTTCATAGTTGGTAGGGTCGGAAGGGACATAAGCAGACCATCTAGTCTGACCCCCTGCCATGGGCAGGAAAGGATGCTGGGGTCAAATGACCCCAGCTAGGTGGCTGTCTAGCCTCCTTTTGAAGACCCCCAGGTAACAGCAAACACTACTTCCCTTGGAAGTTGGTTCCAGATCCTAGCCACCCTGACAGTGAAGTAGCACCTCCTGATATCTAGCCTGAATCTACTGTCAGTCAACTTATGGCCATTGTTTCTTGTAACCCCGGGTAGTGTTTGGGGGAACAGGGACTCTCCCACTGCCTGATTGGCAAATTTATAGGCGGCCATCAGTTCCCCTCTCAGTCTTCTCTTGTGGAGGCTGAACAGGTTCAGGTCCCGTAGCCTCTCCTCGTAGGGCCTGCCCTGCTGCCCCCTGATCATGCGAGTGGCCCTCCTCTGGACCCTCTCCATGTTATCCACATCCCTCCTGAAGTGCAGCGCCCAGAACTGGACACAGTACTCCAACTGCGGCCTGACCAGTGTCGCATAGAGGGGGAGGATCACCTCTTTGGACCTGCTCATGATGCATCTATGGATGCGTGACAAAGTACGGTTGGCCTTCCTGACTGTAACCCCACATTATCAGCCCACGTTCATTCTGGAATCAGTAGTGATTCCAAGATCCTTCTCTGTCTCTGTGCTGATGAGAAGGGAGTTCCCCAGCCTGTAGGTATG